TGTGATTTCATGAATATAGTTATGCAAAGGATTTAAGTTATAGTAAAAATGACAGACGAAAGGAATTTCCGTTCGTCCTATTACGAAAAAGTGGGCTGTCGTGGAGTGGAAGAAAAGAAGTCGTTAGAGATATTAATGAAGGAGAAACCATGGGATAAAGTTAAATTGAAGCAATTTTGCCTACGTTTTATGGTGCCTGCTTCTTATAGGAACTTAGTGTGGAAAGTACTACTTGGTGAGAAGTTATTTCTTAGCGTAAAACTTACAATACTGTCTGTTAACTTACTATTTGATTGAAATATTTCTAAGATAGTATTTCTCACTTGAAAATAATACGATAAAGTTTTTATAGCTAAAAGAAATGAAAGGATACAAATTCCAACACTGGTTGTTATCATAAATGACAAGACTGTTGAAGTTAATTATATTTAACAATGTTTCAGATATAATTCCAGTGTACGCAGACTCACATCAATTTGTAATGGAACAAAGGAAGCAACAGTATGGGGATCTGCTGTACGCTGTGGACATGCTGGATCTGGTAGACATGTCTGCACCGAGAACGGAAATACTCCTAGCCATGTGGTTACTTGAAAATGAAGAGAGAAGACCACCTTTATTTCCTGAAACTAACTTTAATGTATGTAATTGTTTAGAACTAATTGTAGTGTTGCCTGTTATTTCAAAAGATGAAAGAAGCAGCTGGTCACCTTTATTAACCATAACTACGAAAACCATAGACAGAGACTATTTTTCCAAAGCCAATAATTTCAACCTTAAATATTCTAGTTTATTTTTTCAGTCAGCAGACACTTTCCTCCCAATTGCGAAGACATTGATAGAACTGTATGACAATGAGGTGGATGTCTACTGGCTGTGTAAGAGTTTAACAGACATTGTACGCAACATGCAGAAAGATCTTCCCAAACTGAAGGAAGCATTCCAAAGCATGCTGGAAAAAGAAGATGTGGAACTTTTCAAGTATGCAAATACTTATATATAGAATCATCTTTTAATTTTAATCAGTTTTAATTTTTATGCTACACTAGCTGTCGCCCGCGCTTCTATCCGCGCGGAATTAAAAAAAATTGTAGCCTAAGTGTTTTTAAGACTATGTTCTACATCTAACTTTCATCAAGATTTGTTCAGGCATTCTGAAGATATCTTCTAACCAACATCCATCTAAACATTTTGATTTATACTAATAGTAAGATTATGAAAAAGTAATAATAGTTTTTTCTTAAATAACCTATTATTATAAATTATTTTTACTTCAGCCATCTTGTGGATATCAATGCGCTGGATGTTCTGCCTCTCACGAAGTGGTTTAATTCCTGCTTTGCCGGTGTTCTTGATGTAACTTCACTGCCAAAGTAAGTACTTATTCTCATTACCACAGAATACATTGCTTTCTTTACAAATATCAAGTCAAACTTGGTTAACCGAGGATTGGATAAGTCAGAAATGTTTAAAGGCGAGATAAATATCACGGTGTCTTGGTCTTTTGGTTTGCTAAGTTTGATTTGTATTGTTAAAATCATTAATTGAACTTAGAAATTGTGTTGTTTATGTAGGATTTGGGATAAGGTGTGCAGCGGCGCGCCTAAAATCCTCTCCGTTGTTGCTGTGATGCTGGTCATTACGCTGCGGAGGAATATATTGAAGGCTCAAAATGGAGATGAAGTTCTTAAATGTGTCTCAGAGGTACTAAGTTTAAAAATACTTTAAAATAAATACTTGCTATGCTTCGAGTAGATAGCACAAATATATTGTCCCTCGGCTTAAAAAATAATTAAATAAAGCTGGATATTATTGTATATTTTTAACAAGTAAAAATTGTTGACGCATTGCTTCTAAATAGCATAAAATTTAAACAAAGTTTTCTTTTTAGATACCAGAACAATGTGAGGAAGTGGTCGCAAATAAGGCGATAGAACTGTGGCAGTATGGCGCCCAGCCACAAAATGATCAGCTCGCCAAGAAATGATGTATGACCTTCTAATGGGCTGGCCCCATTAGAAGTAAAAAGTGTTTAACAATCAGCCAAGAAGAAGAACCTTTATGGAACATCTGTGAGAAGAAAATTATGATCGCAGCGCCTCTAATACTTCGCTAGCACACTAGCGCCCCTTTCTCCGCTCTCTCTCTTTATCTTTCACCTGGCCATATAAGTTTGTGGGAATTAGACTATAGAAGTTTTTGATACTTGAGGTGTTATGCTCTATTATGCTTTTGAAATGTGCAATTGCCTTGTCTACATTAGAAGGGTTAAAAATGGTTCAGGCTTTTTAATAGGCATATAAAAACCTTAGGCTGTTTAATTATTGTAATGTACTGACTTTGTTAGAATATACGCGTAAATGCTTTGTAGTAAGTTTGTCTTAGATTGTTATATATTTTTATTTCATAATCATTTAGAATGTCGATCACGTTTAGAAAATACACAAATATAGCAAGTAATTTGGTCAATTCTAGATTTTTCATCATGTAACAGTGTTATAGTCTGTGAATGTGAAATTAAATCTTGTCGTACCTTAATAAATGAAAGCGTTTGGAAAAGTTTTTAGAGTTTTATTTGTGTACGTCTTTACTATGGGACTTTGTCGAAAAAAACGCAACGCAAATTACAAGACAGTCGAAACCGATTCATTCCTAAACTGTCCTAAACGGCGAACAGCGATTATTATACTCAGTAAAACAAATAAGAGTGGAAATGTAATCCTTCTAATTAATGCAAAATTTATAAAAGCTTTTTTTATAATTTACAATTTAGAGAGAAATAAATTGAGGTCTCAATTCAATCAAAAAGAAAAGTGCTGCACAAATAATTTCTTGAAGTGTTTTCACATGGCAATATTTTACTCGCCATTTTGCAATAATGTCAGCCAAATCATCAGCTCGCGTTTTAAGTTAATTTTTATGTTGTTTTACTTGAAATTATAGTGATTTTTTTGTTTTGAAAGAGTAAAAGTTTATTCTGGTGCAAAATGGATCGATTTATAAGTATGTGGAAAGTACGGGAGTTGGCGGATAAAGTGTGAGTTACTACAATATTTTAGATGATTTTTATGTAAATTAACTCTGCGTTACTCATTAATATGTTTAATTGGAAGGCTTTTAGAGCAATTAACACGGTACTAGTGCCAAATGAGATGTTATATTACTCTATAACTTTGTAAGGAACTGAATAAATGCACTACTAATTTTGGGATCTCTCACAGTATTTAACTATTTTTTGTTAATAAAGGCAACATTGAACTAATTTAAGGGGTAAATATCTATTTCTTGGTTTATGTTAAGGCTTCCCACACATTAAATGTATTATAATGCTGATTTATAAATCAAGGACAGAAACTTGTTTGAGATATTTTGCCCAAGGTTGTTCCACAGACTTTTACAGATATCATTTTAATTTATTTTATTAATTGAATGCTGTACTATTAGATTTAACTTTCTTACTTTAACATCATTACATTTATTTACTTATTCTCCTTTCAAATTATTTGAGATCCTGTTTCCTTTTTATTCCCAATGAAGTCAATTATATATGCCCATAGAAGTATCACCCACTAATAATAAACATATAGACTAGTTCATTATGTACAAAAATAAAATAAGTACACATATTGATGATTTTATTATTTTCAGTATTGTTTCATTTTTAACTAGATGTTAAAAATTTAAACAGTGATTACTATGTTATTTAATGCACTTGTTATGTATGTTTTATCAAAAACATATTTTTCTTACATTATCTATAAAAAGTAGATAACAACCTAATTACAAATAATTGTTAAACCTTCTATTGTGGTTATAGTATTAAGGAATTTTGGTGATTTTTTGGTCCTCTAAACAACTGTACATATCTAACTATAGAATGTCATCGAAAGGTTGAGAACCATCACAAGTAATCATAAGTAAAATACATAATAGAATTATGTAAACAACATTTAAATTCAAGGCCACACAAAATTCATTTGTACATTTATCAAAAGATATGTTGTACAAGAATTCAATTCTATACTTTTTATCTTATTTAATCTGATAAACTATCATTGCACTTAAAAATAATCTCTCTCGTTTATTCCAAATGGGATTGACAGAAATAAGGAATAATAATAATTATGTAACTATGTCCGCATGGAATTAAAAAACTTTATAAGTAGCCTATTTGTTCTTACAGATTATGTTCTACATCTGTGCCAAATTTCATTATGATCTGTTGAACCATTCCCGTGCTATATTATAATAAACATCCATCCATATAAACATTTATAATTTTAGTAATATAGTTGTTGGACATGGAAATGGAAATTTATGGTGTGAAAGTGGATAGCAGTGTTGGTTAGGGCCATCATAGATGGATCTGTGCTGTCCAGTGTGTGTTTGTGATCTCTGCCTACCACTCTGGGTTAATATTCTGTGTTTTTGTTGTAAATTTTGCACAAATATACTTATTGAGAGAATACATTGCAATTTTTTTTTATTTTAACGGCTTTACTTTGATTCTATAAATCATTTGAAATATTATTACATATTGTCATGACAAATGGTAATCTGTTTTAAATGAACATTTAATGAATAACCATTAAGTTATTTTTAAGGTGAAACTGATTATCAAATTAATACTTAGTAAATAATGAAATTTCTAACTAATAACTAAAATTTCGTCGCAAATTACGACATTTTTGTTTCGCGAATTTTTCATATACTTTCCTTTAAAATTCATTTAAGCATATTTTTGCTATTAACTTTGTTCAATACTGGTTTTGTAGGATTGAGGGAGATAATATATTATCAGTTACTCAAGTGAGGGTGGCCTTGTTTCTGTTAAGATGTGTATCTTTCTATTTAAAAATATAAAACTTGTATACAGTCAAACCTGGATAAGCTAGAAACTTCTGTAAGAGTTATTGTCCCTTGACCATCATAATTGATAAACTCGGGTTAGAGGCAAATCTCCATAAGTGCGAATACTATTGTGGTCTCTTGGACTTTTGCTTATCCAGGTTCAACTGTACTTGTAACATATGAAAAACTAAAGCAGTTAATTATCTTTCACAAAGACAAACAATTTTAATGTCTTTATCATCATCAGCTCACTATATGTCCCCACCAAGGGGCTTGGAGCCTACCCTAAGTTAAGAGTGACTAGGTCAGTCAGTCAACCACGTCAACGGCCAAGTCTAGTCTTGTTTAATGTCTTATTCTTTGTTAAATGTCTTTATACTTGGATAAATAACCAGACGCGTTGATAACGTTTTATAGGGTTCCTTCAGATTTTTTTTAAACTTTTCAATATACATTCACTCCAAGAAGAGATTAAAGATTTTTTTTTCCGTGCTCTTGGTACACTTATATCTCTTCTTACTACTCTTAATACCGCCCTTGTTAACATTTCACCAATGTTTGATGTAAAAATATGTGGAACCAATCTGTTTATAATATGTCGAGACATTTTTGTCGGCGTATTTGGGTTGCACAACGGCCTTGAGGGTAACCTTTCTCCGCGAATACAAGTTGCATAATTCATGCATATTGTCATATATATACAAACCTGTTCAATTTATATCAGCAATTTATATTTTAGTGTAATATCATGGAATTATTTTTTTTAATTAAACGATATTGAATTTTTTTATGTATTATATTTATTAAAATAAAATCATGTTTCGATGCGTTCAATTTAATACGCTTTTTCAATTATATTTCCTTAAAAAGTGTTGTAAGTAATTTTTTTTGAAAGTTTTTAAGTCTAAATGAACGAGTAAAAAGTTTTTATTTGAAATTCGGCAGTAAAATTTTCAAACTTATACCTAGTAAGGTGAAAAAACAACCATGCTTATTTTTGCGATATAACCTAACCTAACTTTAACGTTATTGTTGTAGTTGTAAGTGGTGTAATTTAGTCGTCCTACTTACCCCTAATTAAGGGTAAGTCGGGCCGGGCCACTCGTTATACGAGTATACAAGTTGATGAGCTGCTTGTTACAGTACAAATGTGGTGATGAATTACACGGAGGTGGAAGGCAAGGTGCGAGAGGCGACGTCGGACGAGGCATGGGGTCCCACCGGCCAGCAGATGCAGGAGCTGGCGTTGGCCACCTTCACATATGAGCATTTCCCCGAAGTCATGTCAATGTTATGGCGGCGAATGCTGCACGACAACAGAGCGCATTGGCGCCGCACCTACAAGGTAAGGTGTACTCTTTTAGCTTTGTAACTTTTTAATGTCGAAGCGAGGATTATTTGGTAAACAGAAACTTTAATGAAGCGTCAGTATTTTTAAAGGCATCAATGTCCAAATGTTTGGGACCGGTATTCTAATATTGTGCTTCGTATCCTAGCGTCAACCCTTGGGCTTCGTTGCCATGGTTACTCTATTGCTTAACTCGCTGTCGCCCGCGACTCCGTACGAATATGTATGTAGTTAAGTATTCCACATAAAAATAGTAAATAAACATGTGTACATACCAGTGCTTGCTGCTGCTGAGTTACCTGGTGCGCAACGGATCCGAGCGTGTGGTCACCTCGGCAAGGGAACATATCTACGACCTGAGGTCTTTGGAGAACTACACCTATGTTGACGACCTCGGCAAGGATCAGGTCAGTTGTAGCTCTTTGTAACATTAATAGGTTAATGTTGCTTGCTGGAAAGAGAGCAAGCGCCCACCTGGATTTTGCCGAAATAACGAAGAGACCGCTGCCCATAGACATTCGCAGTTGCAGATGCGTTGCCTACCTTTAATGAACCTATAGGAAGGGGAAATATCCTTCTTCTGTCAAGTCCACTTACTCTTTCCTTACTCTTAGCAAAGGGTTTAGTGGGATGTTAAAGGGGACTAATATTAGGCCTCCGGCACGCATATCCATCAGACGACACGCGGAATTACTTCCACTTGACACCTGTCTTCTAAATTAAACTTAGTGGTTTGTGGCTTGGAATCCCGACTGTCGTGAACCATATCCTAGTACATAATTTTCTTTAAACTATTATAAATATAAATAACATTAGCGTGGAATAAAGTCAAAGATTTATAAACAGTGAAATGTTTTGTACGCAGGGTATAAACGTGCGGCACAAGGTGCGTGACCTGATAGACTTCATACAGGACGACGAGAAGCTGCGAGAAGAGAGGAAGAAGGCAAAGAAGAACAAGGACAAATATATTGGTGAGACCACACACTATACTTCTCTCTTCATTTAGGATTTTCAATTGTTTATGTCGAAGTAATAAAATGAAATTACTTACGTCTATTAAATCCAAATAAATAAACTAAATGTATTATTTCATTATCGTCGTTTTGCGCTGATGGTTCCGGTTGGTAACTGTGGAGAAGATTCAAACTAATCATCAGATACGTTAAGTCGGAACAAAGCAAAAGTAGAAAAGAAAGAAAAAAATAAAAGGAAATTTATGGCGCGAAAGTGCGTGGCACTGTTTGTTGGAGCTGCCTGATACAGACTCATACCGTCCAGATGGATAAAATACTCAAGAAGGGTGATATTAAGAGCACCCGAAACCGATCTGCATGTTTGTGTAGATGTATGAATGTAAAAGAAGAGAGGTGTGACAGGACCATGCCAAATAGAGTTCCATGGTCTCTGTCTACCCCTACAAGTTGCAGGCGTGAGTTAACCATGTATAGAGATGAATGGTAATAGTTTTTGTTGTATGTTTTATTCTAGGCATGTCATCGGAGGCGGCAGTGATGGGAGTACGAAGTGGAGGTGGAGGTGGAGGTGGGGGCGGAGGTGGAGGTGGGTGGGGCGAGTACAGCGACAGAGCCGCGCCGGGCTGGGGTCAGTCACATACTGCTATAACATATAACTGTATTGTACAATGTTGACACAATATCATGAACTAATTTGTGTTTCAGATGATGTGAAGGAGAGAAATGATGATGATGATTACGAAAGAGATGATTCCGATGGTGATTACGGACATCGGAAACCACAAAAGTGAGTTTACAAACAAATAATCATTTATCTTGTAGTTTATTTATGTTACTTTGAACCGGATCCGTTCAGCTGTTCTCGAGTTATGTGGACATATGTAAATCAACTCTAAACCGTCTCAAAAGTTCTGTTTATATAGGCTTAAACTGTTCAAGAGAATAATCTTACACATCATATCATACATTTAAATGTGGTTAACGTCAGCATCAAACATCTGTTCCACCGAGGTGTTTGCTCGGTGCAATACCACCACCACAAAGGAACAGGCGCCAAGTGGAACTCATTCTAAGTATGGTCTGATCAGTTTGTGTGCCGGAGGACTCATTTTAGTTCTATGTCCCTTCCCGCCCTTTCCTTGCAAAGAAAAGGTAGGCAGGGGAAGCTTAGGAACATATCCAATTGCGTTCGCTTCGCCATTTCGGCGCTTTCTCGTTTGCCACTTTATGATATATAAAAAATGTAATAATTGTTATAATATAACTTGCAGAGAGAACGTGTATAGAGACGCGGAGGTGATAGACACCAGCCCGCGTCTCTCTCGCTCAGACAGAACTGAGCGCTCTGAGCGCACTGAGCCGCTCGGCAAGCCGCTCAGCATCAGTCTGCGCAGTCCCGCCAAGACTAAGCCCAGCACACCGGTCAAAAAGATTGATCTAGGTAATACTATGTTTTAATATAATAATAGCTTAATCTGTAGCCTATATGTTCTTCCAGACTAGATTCTACATCTATGCAGCTGTTCTGAAGATACTGTCTAACAAAAATCCATCCATCTAAACATTCGCTTTTCTAATATTAGTAAAATTATACGTTTCCAGGTGCGGCAGCTAGTTATGGCAAGTCAGCGGCCAGTCCAGTGCCTGCTGCCAGTGCTCCGGTGTCACAGAACTCTCAGAACTCGCAGGATCTACTGGACGACCTGTTCAAGACGTGCCCTGCACCCTCCAGCGGCAGCGCCTCCCTCGTACTAGAAGATGACTTCGACCCTCGGTTAGTACAAATACAATTGTTACATTTTATTAGTTATAAGAGCTAAGTTTACCTTCGTAGCATTTCTAATTGTGAGCAAAATCCTTTGTTTAAAACATGTTGTTATCTCTGTGTTATTAAAGATAATGACAGCAATGGCCGGAGTTTTTTGCATTTTTCATCACAGTTTTGTGGCATTTCAATTGAAGTAACTTATTATACTTTAACTCCTCAGTGCTGAAGAGCAGAAAGCAGCAGACGCGGAGTTTGGCGACTTCTCCGGAGCATTCGGTGCTGCTCCCGCCTCGGCCCCTGCCTCCGTCACCCTGGCCCCCGCCCCCGCCGCCCTGGCCCCCGCCCCCGCAGGCCTGGTCGCCGCCCCCGCAGCGTCCTCTGACGGTTTCGCGGACTTCAGCAGCGCGTTTTCACCACAAGATACACTTGTTGCAACATCACTTAACAACAATAATAATGGTAAAATTATATTCTTAATTACTGGATTTTTGTCGACTTTCAAAAGGAGTCTGTCTGACTTTATTTTCTATTCGGAAGGTAGTTTTTTAGTTATCTAGGATTGAATTAGTGTTATTTCATACTGTTTCATTATTATGGCTTTGCTTTATTGTAATTAAAGGTAATTTGTTGTGATAAATTCGAATGTAATAAAGTTTTTTTTTAATATTTATGAGGAGGGAAAAATTGTACGACATTGAGAATTTTAAATATGAATAAATTCATTTGAAATAATAGTTGAAATGTAATAAATTTCAGTAGCAGCGCCGGCAGCATCGAACCTGGACCTGCTGAGTGAGCTGACTCCCCCGCCCCCCACCACTGCGCCCTCCGCCTTCGGGGAGCTGGACGCCCTCACTGGACACTTCTCAGCTATCAATATACAAGGTAAGTCTCAGTTTACACTAAACATGTTATACCCTTCTTAGTAATAGAAATAATTCATACATACTGTTGTGTATATTACTAACGAGCACATATCAAATGTATATTTCTTTCTTATAATTGAAATATATAAGCTGGCGAAAAAAATTGTAAATATAAATTAAATATAAATAATTGTTTAATATATGTAAACTCTTTATAACGTCTCTATGTAAGTTCTCACTCCTTATAACGTCACTCTATGTAACGTCTCAATCCTTATAGCGTCATTCGGTGTAACGTCCAATACCTTAAAACCTTTTTCGATATTTTCGTGTGTATTCATAAATAAGCAAATGTTTTGAGTGAAGTAAAGATTTAAAATGTTTATTTTAATACGAATTTAATAGATGGCGCTTTATACATTAGTAAATCGGGTTCTTGTGTGTGTTTTTTTTTTCTTTAAAATAGTGTCGCAAAATGGTCGGTCAGTGAGCGACGTTATATAGAGTTTACAATGTATGTGGGATACATATTATATAAAATAAATGAAAATACATGTGATGATAAGAATAAATGTTGTAAAGTATGTTGATGTAGTTTTGGGCACATTCAGGCTTTTCTATTTGCAGGAGAGAATGTGTGCGAATGTGTGGGGCTGGGGCAGGGGCAGGGGCAGGGGCTGGGGGAGTGCATGGACACGCTGCTCAACTACACCTCCTTCATACAGTCCGTACAGTCCGGCACTGACGCCCGCAACCTCGCCGCCATCCTCACCGCCGTGTGCCGACATCTGCCCGGACCCCTCACCGTCTTCCACTTCACCGGGGACCGCCCGCCCCTCATACACCATCTCCTCCTGGACATGTACTCTCAAGTGTTGACAACTTTAATACGCACATGTCTACCTCAGTGGCCTCTCTTCAAACATCATATTATACATATTTTTACAATAGAAGAAACTTTTCATACGTCACAAGAATCTCTGACGATACTCTGTGGATTTTTAAAAGACGACAATCAACCGGCGGTACTCGATGGTTTGTCTACAATATTACTTAAATATGCGAAGAGTGATGCTGTGCTCGCAGCTGTTGTACACTCATGTAAAATACAAGAAAATCCTGATAAAGATTTAAATAATAATTGGCAGAATTACGTCCAATTACTGGTGACATTACCCGAGCGAGTCGCCAACAGATTGACTACGAAGACGCCAAAAGAATTTTCACATGAAAATTACGCATATATATTAGTATTTCAAATAATACGTGCACTAGATTTTATGGTCGATAGCAACTATTATGCTGGAATTAAATATAATTTGACAAAACTATCTTATTTGTTGTCTAAAGTTGTAAATATTTATAATAATACAACGGCTGTTATGAAATTAATCGATGTTATTATCGCATGGTGTGAAACTAACGATTCTACGATGTATGTGAGGTGTAAAATAATACAAACTTTATTAAATCATTTGAATCGACAAGCGATTGATAATGTTTCAGTTATATTATTAAATAAATCACCTCTTTATTACAATAATAATGAACAACCGATTAAAAAAATACTCGGTAACAATATTGATGTAAATAAAGATTGGAAAGACGTATTAATGTTTAGAATACCTTTTTATGTAAAAGCCAAGAATTATACGAATACAAGAATACCAGAGAATCTCGTATATTATATATGTACAAGTAAATATAATGTTGACATACTCACAGATTTAATATTGAGATTAGCTAACGCATGGTCCGATGTTAAATCTAATAATGTATCCAGTTTGGAAGATCATATGTATATATCTGAAATTCTAGTCTTATCTGTCAAATATAGAACTAAATTAGCCAGAAAACACCCATGGGAATTAATGGAACTTAAAAATATATTATTCAAAGGAATGTCTAAACATCTTGATATTTTAGCGCAAGAGTTAAGATGTGTAGGTATGGCTACTATTGAAATTATATTCAATATATTGGCTGAAATCGATGAAACGGACAGAAAAGCGGCTGAACAACTGAGATTCGATTACTTAGGTATGGGAATGACATGTACTAATGTACATAAAACATTGAAAGATTTGTCTATGAAATGTTTCTTAGATAAAAGTTCAATAAATCGTATAACAATAAAACCAGAGACAATAAATCTGAAGGAAACATTGGATACAATAGCTTATAGAGTGATAGATGAAGATTTAAGACCGTCTCAGAATACTTTGGTTACTTCAGCTGTTAAAAGTACTGAGCAGACTAAAGCTATAGTGAAAGCTATAATATCAGCTAAATTAGAAGACATGGACAAAGATAAGAATGAAGTAACTCTAGATTCTGACGACGACTTACAGCCTTATGATATGAGCAACGACGTCACAGAAGCGTCTAAAAAAAGACCGATGTACTTACGAGATTTACTTGAAATTCTCACAGAAGCGAAAGATCTTGATACTTTCGAAGCTTCACTGTTAGTTGCCGAAGAATTAGTTGAGAAACAATTAAAACATGATGATAAAAAACTAGCCGTAGATTTGCTAGATTTGTTTATACATCTAGAACAAAAATATCACATGGATAACTTTGATAGCATCAAGTTTAATATATCCGTCGCGATAGTCTGCAGTCAGCCTACAACTTGTGCAGAACATCTCTGCAAAGAGATACACACAGATGTAGGAAGATATTCTATCGCAACGAAACTGTTTATGCTAGACGTACTCTCTGAGTCTGCTAATAAAATCGCCGGAGTTAAATCTAGACACGAGGAGAAACCTAAATCTATCAAAGTCAAACATAACGATGATGTCCCAGCTGAAGAAATAATACGACGACGTTTGATAAATAAAACTAAATATTTCCATACAATACGACCGCATCCGTTCTCTAAAGCGACGATTAACCGTTTCGCTGCCGTCTCGGATTCTTTTTTCTATCCCCTCGTGGGTGGTTTTGGTCTAAAACAACTAACTCTTAGTCATCACAACCAAAAACAAGATGTTGATAATATTCTTTTGCTGAAATATCTTTCTGTTGTCGGAAATATTATTTTGATATCGAAAAATTGTCCGAAATGTCCGAATTATTGTCGCGATGTGATGCGGATGGTGCTCTACTTGAGATTCTCTCCGGAACCGAAGATACAGAGCAGTGTTATATCTATCATAGCATCGATAATACTCGCGTTACCTGAGTCGATGTTGCGAGGCGAGTTCTTGGAATCGATGTTAGAAGTGCGCGCCTGGTTCATCGATTGTCTTTCCAACTTGGATCTGACTATGAGACTCGGAGGACCTAAGTCTGAGGCGGCCATATTTGCCGGACAAGTTTTGCATTTGTTAGAAAAGATTGTGACATTAGAAGGTTAAGAATGAGGCTATTCAATCTCTTTTACAACTACCCACCGTTTCCCGAGCATGTATTTGTCTGTTTGTGCCACTAGATATAGTCGTAGTTATATCACATGTATTTTGATTTATTGTAAGTGTTATTAGATTTATGATCTCAACAAAAATGTTTTTTTTTTATTTATACTTGATAGATATGTCTAATTGATAAAAGCCGGCGACTTTTATAATATTAATTACCTCTTTGGTTACTTATTCTTTGTTTATTCAATGTATAAATTCAACAGGAATACAACCTACATTAGGTCTGCTGCAGCCGATAGCTCCGAACAACAACAGCAACAGCCAACAACAACAACCTAACACAACAAACAACACGAAAACAACAAAACTGGGCGCCACGTGGGCTGATACAACGGGGGCTATAAACATAGATGTAGACAACCTACTAGCCCCTAGATCCCCGAAATCCGCCCCCGCCCCATCTATAAATCAATTAAAATCCAGCCCCAACAGCCCTGCCCACCAACCTTTACCCCCCACTTCCTTCCCCATGGGGTTCCCGACACCCCTTATCAATAATAATTATATAATACCAACAGGAAGTAACAACATCCGACCTCCATTCTCTAACCAAAACTCATTCCTTCAATGATATTGGTTATTGGCAGATGTATGCCAGAAAAGTTAAAGTTTTGGAGCAAAATAAAACCTCAAGATGTTTAAGTTGGCACGTCGTTATAAGTTTACTCTTGTTTTATACGTGCCAACTTAAATGTAATACTATTGTCAACCCACGCAGTATTTAGTGTTGCTAACGCTAAAAAAATAATAGTTATCTATTTGTAATTGAAATTAGATTGCTCCAAATCATTATTAGTAACCTAAAAGTGGGTTTGTGGTACGTTTTTATACAGTTTTGATATTAACAGATACAATGGAAACGCAAACCCATGCGTAGTAATTGCATATCAATGTATATCACATGATATTATTGTTATATGTTATATACTGTGTCTCGTATTGATGATAGAGATGTGCTGTCGATTCTTTAAAATATCGATATTCTTTATATAATAATAAGAAATTAAACGTAATTTAATTCATAACTTGTTACTTTATTTTAGAAAAAACGAGATTATTTTTAAAGCAATATTTAAACTACATAATATAAAAAATATTTCATAGCGGATTGTATTTTTTAATTGTTCACATTAAAACTTTGTGATAACAAAATAAATCAATGCATTTTTTATGCAAAAGATTACAAATGGACATTAAAATATTAATTAAATTAAAGTGTTAATTAAATTAAAGCATGTGTTATTGGAAAAAACGTGAAGTATTTGCAACTGAAAATGAAAAACCTATTTTTAATAATTTTGTCTGTCTGTCTGTCCGCAAGACCGCGTGTGTTCCAAGTAATCTCTGGAACGGGTGAACCAATTTTGACGGGACTTTGACTTGAAGGTAGCTGATATACACAGGCATATTGTTGGCTTTTTAATTATGCGCTGACAAAGCCGCGGGCGGGCGCTAGTTGTAAATAAAACAATAAATATCGATAATTTAAAATCGACACATCCCTAATCATCAAAACGATGACTAGTTAACTTGTTAGTTGTAATTATAATAAACAAGTGCTAATGCAATAAAATACATTATATATTATGTTATATTCATTTATCCATACATTAAATATAGCAGCGGGCGATTTACACTAAACATCGGTTAAAACAACATCTTAACTATCGACAATGTTCAGCCGAATTAACCGATAATTATCAATTTTGGTCATAATTAAATTAAAAATCTCTTTAAGTGAGATTTTCTACTTTATTTTCTTTATATTAAAAGGCAAGCATTCCGGTTTTTTTAATATATTTTCTTGTACAAATATTATGAATTCCGAAGTTTTATACGATATTTTTCTTATTATATTTGGCATTTAAATCCATCCCCTTTTGCTCAAAAATAATATTAAATTATTTTAAATACTGCATAATTTTGAAATAGTTTTTTTCATATTCGATATTAAAATCGCTTACTTGCTTACACAATACTATACTTTGTTAAAAACTTGATTTGAATGACATTTGACAGAGAAAATTATGTCAATCTGTCAAAATGTTTTTTTTTTTACAAAACTGGTCTATTTTTTTACAATTATGCAAAAAGTTTCTTTTATATAACTATTAAAATTTGTATCTCAATATAAATTGCATTTGATATGTTTTTATTTATAAATTTTTTTTTCTAAATAATAATTTCGTATTCACATACACAATGGTGCTGTTCACGATTTATGATAGAATTTTTTGCAATTTACCAAATTGTATTTTTCTAATCTTTGACCAAATTACGCCTCCATTCCTTTCTTTAAGACTAAACTTACTATGTGTTAACGTTATTCCAGATTCTTTTTACAAAATTATGCTTGTTTTTTAAATTTTTACAGCCACATAAATAATTTTATTATTAATTTGTAAATTTGCGACTTTTAAATTAAATATTGGCAACATTTTTTTTGCAAATAGCAAGTTTATTCAAATCTTTATTTCGTATCGTAATTATGTATTAGACGATCATCAATTAATTTAATATTTTATAACTAACATTATAAAATTACATCATAAATTAAAATAAATAAATAATTCAATTGTCACATTCAAAATGACATTACTTTGAGTTGAAATAAACTAAAGAATCACAAGTAAACCATCACAAGGCAATAATCTGCTTGCAGATTGTAGATAAAACTTGTTGTTAATATAATATATAATAATTAACTATTTATATAGAATATTTTTTATACCAGCTTCGTGAACCGTAGAATTTCACTGCCGTAACACATCACCATCCCTTTCATTCTGACAGAACAATATGAATACGAACACCGCAGTGTGATTCTACGTTTATCTTTGTCAGCCAAGTCGTAGGGCTGAATTTGTGCGATACATTAATCCTTAATTAGTATTATCAATTAATATAAAAACATCATATTAAGTGTTAAATAATAATTAAAGTTGTATAAAAATCAGGCAATACAATGTTTTGATTAAAAGTACTTACTTTAAAAGTTTTTTTAGTTAAATTTCTTGTCTTAATATAATTTTATTGGAGCAATAATTTATTTACTGCATGAAATTGTGCCAATAGATTGTGTATTTCATTCTTATATCGTAACAGCGTTGTAGAAAGGCAGCTATTTTTAGTAAAAACTAAACATTTTATTAGTTTTCTTTTACTTGGTGCTTTTTGTGTTGAAAATGTTTATAAATATCAGGTGATCTTCGTCTTTGTCTAATTATGTGAGCAAATTTATTATTAACAATTGGTCAAATACTACGCGTCTACAATAACTTGAGATGTAAGGTGAATGACGTGTTTTTACTGTTGGCTTCCACTGCAGAAACTTCGATATATCACTTCTATGTTTTTGAAAACAGTAGTGGGAGCCCTATCTTATACTAACACAAATGTAACTTTTTCCCGTATGTAAGTTTTAAAAAACTTGTAGCGTAAACAGATTTCAGTTGACTTGAGTACTATTAATTTTAAGTTTATCTAAAATCAATATATAAAGACATTGTGATGCGAAATATATGGGGACCAAAGTCGAAATAATTATTGGCATAATATTCCATTTTTTACTTTTCTTTTAAAATTAACAACCGATTCAAATATGACGTCACACTAAAGTGATCAAGAACTATTATAACATAGTATATAATTAATTCAATCTTCAGCTCACTATATGTCCCCACAGAGGGGCTCGGAGCCTACCCTATGTTAGTGCACAGGCCATAGTCAACCAAAATGGCCAAGTGCGTGTTAATTTCACATTTATCTTTGAATTTCTTCTAAAATATGTGCAGCATCACGATGATCCTTCATCGTAAGAACGTGGAGTAAATGTACATATGTAAATGGAAAACACTTTGGTATATGGCGGGATTCGAACCCAGGTCCTGCAGATTACAAGTAAAGTGCTTAACTTCTGAGCCACCGACGCTTTACATTCTCATTAATTTATGGTGAAATAAAATCTAAAATCAATTTAATATATAGGAATGTATTATTTCTGAAATGTCATGTAACATTTTTTTCGTATCGTGTCAAAATGTCTTTATATTTTGGATTAGTTTGTGCTTTTTATGTAAATTATGGTGCATATATTTCTCAATATTTCCTGTGAACATGTAATTTTTTTTTGTGTTTGCACGTTTTATTTAAACTGTTTGAATCAAAATTATGTTATGATTGATGTTATTTTTTAGTCTACATCTTGATATCTACGTATTTTAAATAACGCAAGATAAATATTTAAAAAGTCAACTCTGTAATTGGTTTGAAAGAAGACTTATGTATTGTCAAAATAATCAAGCAATTCATATAATTTTTAATTATTTCTTTCTTTGTTCGCATTAAAAAGGATTGAATATCTTCATTGTATATAAAATTTATATTAATTTTATTAAGTTCTTCCAATATTTTTTAAATGATTTAAGAGCAATAATTTTGTTTAATTTTAACTTTAGTTGTCTCATTTTAGTGTATATTTAGTTTGACATATAAATGTGTATTCGCACAATATAATATAATTTTTAAATTAATAGTTTTCTTGACGTCGCCGGCGTTTACTTACGTGTATAAAGTATGTGGTAAATTCATTTTGTTTGTTCGTCAATGTTAGTATGAAAGTTTGGATATGACAAGGTATTGGATAACAGTAATTGTTCGCATCCCAGGGAAGTATTAAATAAACATTATTGTAACTAATATTATCTTGTTTTATTTTATATATAATACCTTCTACTCATCTTTATATATATAATTCTTCTGTGAGTGTGTATGTCACTGAACTTCTCTCAAACGACTGGACCGATTTTGATGAAATTTTTCGTGTGTGTTCAAGGGGATCTGGGAATGGTTTATATTCACAATTTTCATCAAATATTAACTTCATATTAATTTATTCAAATTAAAGACGTGTAGTCAGGACAACGTCTGTCGGGTCCGCTAGTATTATATAATATTCTACAATACTCCAAAAATATAACAGTTTACCAACTAAAATATACACAAGTAGCTCACGAAGTAGAGCGGATTAGAAAAAGTTACTCCCACGTGTTGAAAAAGAAAACAATTTTTTTTTAATATATCATGTTGACGAAATATGACTTTTCTTCCCACTTATTTTAATTAATTTAATAGATAATGTTTAAACTTTAGTTTCATTCGACATTTCTCTACGTAATTTCAATCCACTGCCAAAATTGTATTGAAATATGTTTTTCAGTAACCGCGTTAGGTTTAGGGTGCAGCTGCCCAGTGCGCCAGAGTCGAATACCTTATCTTTAGAAGATTTCTCCCGTCACAAAAATCTGGCAAGGGGCGCCGGAAATGCATCAACCGGCCCTGTTATGTCTCTATTTCTTCAAATATCATTTAAAAGATCGCAAAATGTTTTTATACAAGTATTTCTACAGTGGAAACACATAACTCGAACTTAGAACGATGTGGAATAAGTTTAAAATAAAATGAAAAGACATTTGTTCATTAAAGCGTTTAATTTGTGAAAAATATTGGGCTCATGTGAAACTTAATCTAATATCTTAATTAACTTAAAAATATATATCGATTAATTAAAAAATTAAAATCGTCATAACTTAATTAATTAATCGCAAATTAATTCATTATTTGATAATATCCAATTAATGATCAGATTTGAGGAAATACTTTTTAACATAAATATTCGATGTTCAGTCTTTTTAAAACAAACGGAATCACATTTAAATGGCAAATATTAAAAAAAAACTTTAAAATTATTGAAATTATAAAATATGCAGAATACACGGAATGAAATGAAAATTAACAAATAATTAGGAACAATTTTAGTATAAAAATATTTAAAAGTTAAAATAAATATTTGTAAAATCGACATTACCGAGTCCATTTGATAAAGCTCAAGTGCAAAATGCAATTATAAATATTAACATCGGTTTTCACTGACGTAAACATGGAAGAAAATCATTGTTTCAAACATTCAATAGATAATAAATATTATTTAGACGCATGTCACTAACCGACAATGTCATTAATTTCCTATGGATTTTGAAAACTGTTTAAAATGATGATATAAATATATCAGTTTGTAATATTTCTGTAATTATAACCTTGTTAAGATAAAAATAGTTTCGTTTGTGTAATTCAATATTATAACATCTATGTGACATACAAATATACATCGTATTCACACAAACACACACACATACATTATTGTCACAAGAGTTATGTGCGAACAAAAATATTAGTCATTTCTTTTTTATTAAAATATTTTTTTATGTTGTCCGTACTTATATTATTTACTTATTTTAATCGAGACAAAAGAACAATAAAAACTATTTTGTAGTTGCTAAAGGTAGAAAATTTAGCAAAGGAAGGCATAATGAGTAAAATTAAACAATCAAAATGACGACTATCAATTTGAAAAGACAAACAACAGTCAAATCTAGACAACCTTCATAAGCGAGAGAATTGGGTTAGCGAGAAACCTCTAAAAAAAGCGAGAAAAAATATTGCGTTCCATTGAACTGTAGCTTATCCAGGTTCGATTGTATTTCGCTATCGGGACGGATTTGTAATAGAAGGAAAATGTATATCACTTTTATATCATCAAAACCATGGAAACGCGAGAAACTCGAGAGGAGAGAAATCTCTATAAGCGAGAAACTCAGGTTACAGAGATACCTCTATAGGCGAGAAATAAATCGATGTCCCTAACATTCTATTTTAACCAAATTCATCTGTTTAGTAAACGAAGTTGCCACTGGGATGGATGGACGTATTTTCATTTAGAAATTAATAATTTTAATAATAATTTTGTTTCAGTCTAATTATATGAAAATATAACAATATTTTAATTATAATAATTAAATAATAAGATAAAAAAAATGGAATAGTTTCATAAAGAAACTTTAAAATACACAACCATTAGACAAAATTAGATAAATTCTAAGACAATTTGAAAATGTCTCATTTCTCATTAATGCAATTTAATATTGTTACTAACAAAAAGCTTACTAAATTACATTTATATAAACTACCGTTCAACATATTTAAAAACAACAATATCCACCTTATACGCTGTTTTTGATAAAGTTATTTCTCATTTTTTTTTTATTTTCCTCCTGATTTTTTCATATAAACATAAATAAGGCACAGATTGAACTTACGAAGCGTTTGAATTCTTAAATTTATCAACCAAATGTTATCTCTAAAATATTAGTAATTCCATATATCATATATTTATGTTTAAAAAGAAACATATAATTAGGTCACAACATTAATTGTAGTCATGTGTAGAGAGAAAAAGTGAGGCGAAAAAAAAGTTACTCCAAAGAGTTGGAGTAAATTTTCTCATTGTTAAAATTTTTAAATTAAACTTGATTAATATGAATTAAACCATTTACATATTAAATATATATAGTTATTATTCAATTAGTTATTCGAATTAAAAAAAATCGTTATTAAAAATATGAGCTTCCATATTTAGATCATAAAAATATAATTATAGATTAAAAAAATACTTGACAAAGTTTAAATCATTAATTAAAATATTATTTATCTATAATTACCTATATTGGAAATTATGCAATTATTATATTACGTAAAAAACGTAGACACAATTAAAAAAAATAATTATTTTTATACAATCATATGGTCACTTTGACCATACGGTCACGTGACTTACGGACACAAGTGACCACAATTAAAATTAACATCACTTATCATTGAGATACCTTTAAATATTAAAACATTTTGAGATTAACAACCAGACACACAATTCCCGCCATTTCAAAATGGCCGACGATCACATTAATTTAAACATTAAATCAAATTGTTAAAAACAATATTAACATTTTAATCATGGCCAATATTTAAAAATTACTCGAAATATTACTTAAGTTGATTTCACACTAGGGTAGAGCATTAAGACATAGCAGTAGAACAATGTACTACAATTATTTGAACACACAAAACAGCATAACAACAAAATTAAAGAAATTGAATGGAGATTTTAAGTTAAATTTAGAAGTCTCCCTTAGTGATTACTAGTACTGAATTATACTACTCTGGCTATACTACCTTAGTGTGAAATTATGTTTCGAGTATACCAAACTAGGTTGTTAGCGGTGGATTGTAATCATAAGTTAAAAATAAAAATACCTAAGTATTGAGTGTGTACCTTCAAGGTGTATCAGTTGCGGGGTGGACTGAGCGAGTACATGACGCTGTCAGCAAAAGTGGCCGCTACTGTATAGTTCTTGGTGGCGAGGAATTCTGACGTCTTGTTGCGATATGAAGCGTCCGTTGAAAATACTTCTATCACCTGTGAACATATCAGAAAAAATTATACTTGAACATATTAGTAAGTAAAAACAGACATAAATATTTTTGACGACATTAAATGATTCAGTGAAACACAAAGCGAATTGTGTCATAAAAAATAATATAACTTTATTATAACCTCAAATATTTCTTCTCATATTTAAATACAATAAAATTGGAGTTTCTGTATATAACATAGAAAACAAACTTATTTTGTGAAATGTATTTCCCTAGTTGATAACTAATAAACTAATTTTATAATATTTTATTCTATCTGTATGTCTGTCCGAAAGGCTGAGTTTGTTCCGGGTAATCTCCGGAATAGCTGGACCATTATTAACAGAACTTTGAAGGTAATGTGATGCAGGCGGCCATATTATAGGCTATTATTTCTGGACTGACGAAGATAAAATAATAACAATAAGAAAATGTGTATGTGTGTGTAGAAGGGTATGTACCTGCAGCTGTAAGTCCGGCAGGTGGTAGGGCAGGTGTGTGAGTGCGGGCAACGCAGCCTCCCCCGCCAGCAGCAGCAGCTGCGCACGCGCCGCCTCCGCAGCCAGCAGCACCGTGTACAGAGGTAGACAGAGCACACGAGACCTGAACGCAGACCCACTGCTCTCCGACTCTTGATATGTCACCTGTTTCAAAAAAAACCCCATGTAAAGTTGTGGTATTTAAAGAGTTAAAGAGCTACACTTTTTAGGGTTCCTCGAAAGAAAAATAATCGGAACCCTTAAAGGATCACTTTGTTGTCTGTCCGTCAGTGTCACCATTGTTTTTGTTGTAGGATTAGCCAGTACTTTGTACGAATTATATTTTTGTTTGGTTTTCTTTCCATCAAAACTTACAAATTGCATATAAATAAAATGGCTATATCATGTAAAATAATATAACTCAGTGAAATTAAAATGAAAGATGCAAAGTTAAAAAAATTTGCAAATTTACCTCACGAGGATGATTAGTAGGGCTAAGACAAGCATGCAAAGCCCTGGCCGCTCCTCTCAAAGCCAAATAATCTCTTGCCGCAGCTCTGACCACAACACCATCCCAACCACGTACTGCCTCAAGAAACAATGTAGTGTTATCCCTCGGTCCTTTAGGCAGGAACTCTACAAAAGTCCCTTGTTCCTCCGATCCAAGTATTTGATCCAGGATTTTGACTCTAGGAGTGGGTTCAGGGTTTGGTGGCTGGACGTGTGCTGCCCGAGGCGCAAGGTGCAACTGCCTCACGTAAGCGACAAGAGGTGGTGACTCCTGTGGTATCTTAGCCAGTTCGTAATCACGAGACATGTTTAGACGAAACTGTTGTGCGCCCAAAGCTAAAACAAAACAGAATAATTATATAAAATAGGAAAATTATTAACTTTCTTTTTTTTTAACTAAAAGATTTTAATATTTTAAATGTTTCTTGTAACATTCAAGACTGTTGATAGGATACGGTTTAAGACTATAGTTGAATGGCTGGATTTGAACTCGGGACCACCTGATCAGAAACCTGTACCCTTGACCATAACGCTATTTGACACTCAACTTTAATAATATAACTTTGTGATACACAAGCTTAACTTGCTCCGAAATTAGTACAGTTGAACCAGGATTAGCAAGAAATCTTTATAAATGAGAGTCATTGTCTGATCTCCACAATCTCTATAAGCAAGAAACTTGGGTTCGAGAGCAAATTCTATCAGTAAAAAAACAATTCACACTCTCTTACACAGGTGGGACTGTATATAAAATATAATGTAACAAAATTATCTAGCCTCGAGAGAGAACTGTAGTTATCACAATTTATTTTAAGTAAATATGTAAAACCTACTTGTATATAGCAATTGTCAATGTCCTAATCACCACTAACATCTATGAGTTGACAATGACCACACAAGAAATACAATTGAACAAAGATCTATTGTAATTTAATTTCACATATATAAAGTCAGAAAAGTTTGTCAATGAAGTGACTTACCCACTGTATCCATATAAACCAATAAAACAGTCATAACAGTAACAAAAGTCAGTAGAAACAAGACAGCAGGCAGTAGTTTCCTGTATAATTCATTGGGTGATGTCTTTGTGAATGATGGAATGGTCAAACGAGGAGACCGAGTCACAACAGGAACTACAACAGGCACAGGCACTGTTTTATCAGGTAAAGGCTTCGGTGGAATGTTCTTGTCACTGCCCTCCGCTTGCTCCATTGTATCACAGGGCTTGGAGTGTTCAGGTAGTGTTTCTTCTGGACTCTTCTGAAAGATTATTGTAATTGTAACAAATTCAACACAGAACCATTATAATGTAAGGGAAAGTTAACTCAAGTTAACTAATGAGTATATAGTTATTGAAGAAAACATATGAATTATGCTATTTGTGTATAATCTGTAGTAAAGTAACACATTGAAAATTGCATACTAAAAATAATGTAAAAACCAACACAAACAGTTGCCCACACTTAGTTCACTTTGAAATAATTTAATCTGACCAAACCAAATAGATTTTTACTGGAAATGTGTTATTTTAGATAAAATTCACACTAAAATTTCAACATTACGACTGCCAAATGATATGAAACCTCTCATTGTCAAGACGACAGGTGCTAACCTTTTTTTGTTTTTTTTTCTTACGTAGCTTATCTCAGATGGTAATAGTCAAATTATATTTTATTTGGTGCAAGTATTAATAAAATTAAAATATAGTTTACAAGTATACTTACTTTTTCTGCCATAATTAAAGTTTATAATGTTTTTAATACTTGTGTAACAATAACTCTACACTTAAGTTTCCACAAAAAAAATTATGATTTTGTCCCTATTGTAGAGATTCTACCATATCCAACTATAAATAAATCATTTCTACACGCTCTTTACTGTATTTAACACAATAACAAAAGAATTTATATGAATACATTAAACAGGTGAACGAACGCGTGAGTCATTAAAGACTATGTGTAGACTAGACTGGACAAGTTATGTAATCTGACAGATTTATATTTTTGATTAAATCCCTTTGACGAATAAAAATCTTTTTCTAACACCAAAATAAAGATAAGAGCCTACTTTTTATAATTAAAAAACATACAAAACATTCAGTATTCTGATTAAATAATTAAAATAGTCTCATCAAAAATGTCTGTGTTATAATCTATGGTCAGGTGGCATAATTAAGAATCTTTCTCGCTGCTCGCGCGCAAATTCAAAGTCTCCGTGTACTTACACTTTAAACTGTATTTATCAAAAACATGTCGACTTGTATTAAGTACCACGTTAAAACTATAAAGTAGTAAGTGGAATAAAAAATTGTCTCAAACGCTAAGTAAATGTAAAACGTAAGTACAAAACAGTAAGTATTCATTACTTATATCAATTACCTAATATAAGCAGACGTTTTTATACTTGATTGAAATTAACCTAAAAACATAGATGTTCTTATTTTCTACGAAGTAATAAATGATAAAGGGAGTTGAAAATGTGTGTTTAATATAGTTCTTAATGGATACGGTATAAATAAATAACAATTTATAATTAAGGAAAGGCATTTATTGTCGAAGTTTTCAAAATTTTAACACAACAGCATTTTATTTAAGTGAAAAGTTGTAATTGTTATTTTTATACAAAATCGAGGATTTCACTGACGAAATCATGCAAATATTTACAATGGTTGAATGCAGAAAGCGTAACAACTAATTTTTAAAGATACACACGGTCGAAGTTTTTTTTTTAATTCTACACAAAAATGCACTTCAGATAAAGTTCCAATGATTTTATTTACACAAGGAAACAAGGTGATTAACGAATAATATGTTTAAAAAACATCTAATGATATTTATTTATATTAAAGATATTTTGATTTAAATTAGATATATGATATTTGTACTCTGGTAAACTATTTTTATGGCAAATATACGTACTTTGTATAAAAACAATATCCATGTTTAATAAGAAAATGTTATTTCTGGCAAAAAACTTAAGTCCTGATAATATTTTAAAATATTGGTTAGTTAAAAAATAATAAAAAACTATAAAACATAATATTATAAAATATTTCAACGATTATAAAAATTCAACTAACACAAATAAAAGCAATAAAAATTAACAGATAAATTATTAACATAGTATTGAAGGATTTTTTAAATTACAATTTATTTTTGAAGGCTTTTTTTTATTTCGGACTTATAGCTAAACAGTAATAATTTTGTAGCTCGTTGTTACGCCAAATTATTTGAATAGGCCTATTATAATTGCACATTATTATGTTAAAAGTTTCGCCTAAAATTTCACAATTTAACATCTAATAAAAACTCTTTGATAACAAAATTGTGCTCAAACAACTACAACTACGCAGTGTAAAATGATTTTAAGTTACACTCTTAAGGTGAGTGTAGACTAAAGCATTTGCTTGTAACGGAACAACGAGTCGTTATATATGTTCAAGTGTATCACACGAGCTTTGGAATGCATTCGTAAGAACGTTACACAAGTTAGAAGCTTTAGTGTATATTCACCTTTATAATTTAATCCGATTCTAATATTTATAGTATTAGATAAAATTTATCGAAAACAATTTTTTTTTCTAATAGATTAATTTTACTTACGCATTTGGGAGAATTATGCGAATAGAAAGTACGAAATTTATTGTCATACATTTACATTCAGTTCATACGCAAATTCCTTATAAATATTTTATTGTCAAGAGTAACTACATATAGTATTTGATATTCTCTTAAGCTGGGTTTACACTACAAAAGAGGTATAGTACCTTAACGTGTAGTGAAAGCCTAGCTTAAGACAATTTTTTTCAATAAAATGTAAAAAATACATATAATAAACTATGTTAGTTTTACTTTTAATAGTATGGTAACATTGATTTATGGTCATAAATTACCAAAGTATTATAGGGTTACAATATAAAAAAAATACAATAAATATTAGAGCCACGCGTTTTTATATATCAAAATATACATAAATGTTTTTTTTTATAATAGACCATTTTATTGTCTTTAGCTATTTTATTTGTATTCCAAATAGCAAAACGTCCCCCAACGTTGCGTCCTGGAGGCCTAATTTAGACCTCTTTCTCTTCCCACCGTTTTTCTTATAAGGAAAGAATGGGGAGTGGAACTTTCCGGATGAGAGGATGCATGGAAAGGGAAAATATTTTCTTTCTGTGCATCCTCTCCTCCGTCGGTTAAAGGTAGGCAACGCATATGCAATTACGTATGTCTATGGGCAACGGTCACTTCGCTATTTCAGTGATTTTTGATGGCCACTCGATTGTTTTCCATACAAAAAAAAACAAATATAATGGAATGATTACTTAGTACAATATTCTAAATAAAGGCAATACCTTATATGTATAAATGTTGCGTTTTAAATTATTATTACAAACTTATTTTATTAGTTTTTTTTAGTTACATTATTGTCATTACCACAGTACGAAATAGAGAAGGGGAACCAATACTTTGAAATATCGATAAAAAAGACAAATGGATCCTAACTTCTACTACAGTCTATGTTTACGAGTTAACAATTTAATTAATCTTAGTTATCATTTTATTACTAAGCTTTATGGTTTTTTTAAACTATTTTTTATAAGTTATGATTCACCTTCTCTATGGTACCTTTATGTCAAATAATTTTAAATATCACGCTTCGAAATAATGATGATAAAACTCCTTTTATAAATATTATTGTCAAGGACGTACATATATTATATATTATATTATATAATTCAATATTATTCTATCTCAATATTATTGTCAATGTTTCCATTGTGAGAAATTCTTATTTAACTATTAAAAAGTTTATTTTTTTTTTAATTTCAATAAGCAATAAATTTCAGATTTAATTCTATAATATGATAAATATATAGTGTACAATAATACTCAGATTAATCTAGTTTAAGAGACGATGTTGATATATTTTGTATATATTTTATATCTTATATAAATATTAATATATATATTCATAGATATTAAGATTAATACTAATCAAAAATATTTTTCTAACGTTTATGCCACTTTTTTAAATTCCAGCAATTATATATTTTGTGTAAAATTTATATTTGACCTTATTTTTTAACAATCAAGTTAAGTTTAGTTTATTGTCTTGGTAATTTTGTCTTAGTAAACGTATACTTATTATATATAAGCACTTTTAAAACACATAACAATATTTCAATATTCATAACAAACATATCAATAAATATGACAAACATTTTTCAAAATAGTATATATATAGATGAGTCTAAAAATTAATAATCAATTAAAATACCACTTCGTCTCCAAACTACGCTTAATCTGGACTAAAATCTAGTAATTATTGTCGAAAAGAATTGTCTACAGACCTTCAAGTATTCCAAAATCTAATTTTCAAAGTTAAACGCACAAACACGCATTTGACTGATATGAAATTGATATATAATAGATTGACATTATTTACCAAAATTCGGTTACCTGTACAATGTATGCGAGCTCTGTTTACTTTTATATACTGTTTTATCACAATCCTTGCTGAAGAGAAATAATAACTAAATTTGCATAAAATAAATATCGATAAAAATTATACCCATCACTAATACTGTCAAAGTCCAATATCTGTATTAATTATTCTTCGAACAATATTCAAATTGAAAGCAAGTCTTTCATCGCGTAAACGTAATATAAATATATTTTTGTATATTTGAAATGATACCTTCAGACAAACCTTAACTTAACAGAGCTCGCTTCGCGTTTCCGAACGCAATCTTATCTCGCGGCCATGTCGGGGAGAGCTGTCAAGATGACAAGCGCTGTCAATGTCAAGATGGCGAGAGGCGGGAAAGTGTCCGCGGAGTTGACTCTCGCGCCCTGGTCACCGGGTATGGGTACTGGAGTGCCGGGGTCCACGACGTGTATCTTCCAGCCCAGGTTGTTATGTGTGTAGCACTGGAAAGGTATTATTTAATTTAATAAATTTCAAGATATACTCGAGTCCTGCCTATTTGTGATCCACTGATAAAACTACTAATTTGCCCTGTATCTAGTCATTGTTCTTACACATCATTTTTTTATTCAAAATCGTAATAGCGACGATTACTTTTATAAGTACTCACCTGATAGTAGACCAAGTCGGGAGTCTCATGTGCCACCGTCCAGTTGAGGACGGCTGGCTCGCCCTCGTTGCACTCCAGCTGCAGTGTCTTCATATAGTCTTCGAAAGTCTCCGAGGCGGCCGACTGGTCGATCGTCTTATGGGTCCACTCGCAGTAGCGACCCACTGGAATATTGTAGTCATATGGAATAAATGTCTATTACTAGTGCGTGCACCCTAGATGTTATTCCCATATGTCTGTATCTGTTGCGTTTACCCCACAAGCTATTGTTTGACTTCATTTTAATAACTCACCGGCAGTAGGATATGGATATCCTTCATTGTCGTAAGCTACCCCAGCGAACACCCGCTGCTTCCTTTGATCCTCCTCCCTCTTCTGGCCGAAGCCACCCTCTGAGGAATCACTGATATAGAAGGGGTGGAACTTGGCGGGGTTGGTCCTGTCATCCCCTCCCTCGACGAGGAATGTGTACGTCTGACCTCGCTCCACGTATATCTCTGGTATCAGCTGGTCGTTGATGTACCAGGCTATGCCCCAGGATGGATGACCTGGGAAAGGAGTATTGTGTTAGAATTTTAACAGTACAACAAAGTTTAGTAAATATCAGCTATATAGTAGATTTAATTGGAAGTATCTTCATGTGTCGTCTGTCTTCATTCCTTTTCTCTTGACAATAATCAAAATATGTAGAAGTTAATATTTACCAGGTAAGAATCCATTGTTAATGTCGTTGTCTGCGTGTAAACATAAAGATAATATACATCAAACATATTTCAAATAATTTGTATTCAAATACGTACTAAAGTTTAAAATTGGACCTTATAAAACCTGTTAAAAGCAATTAAACATATAGCCGTGTATCCACTAGGCAAATAAACGTTATCATCGATTATCCGAAGGACATTTGCTACCAAAATATAATAGTTATGACCGTAACTTTGTCTCGATAATGAATGTTTTTTGAATAGTTTAAAATGTTTGTTAATAGTATACAGACCAGTGAGGGGCGTGTACCCGCGCAGTCCGGCGGCGGGGCCGATGCGCGCGGTGAAGCGCTCCTCGCCGGCGATGATGCGCGGACCCCACGGCTGCGGACCCCCCGCCTCCAGCTCCGCCAGACCCAGGCAGCTGTTGTCGTTCTGAACAACAACAACGAATATATCTACATCTACACCTATATCCATACATATTAATTAAGTTGGTATGTCTGTTTGTAACATCGAAAAAAAAATTATTTGCTTAGCTGATAACGAAAAACAAATTTCTAAAATGATCTGTTTGTCTGTCTGCAAGGATTCGTTTGTCCCTGATAATCCCCGGAACGGGTGGACCGATTTTGACGGGACTTGGATGGGAAGGTAGCTGATGCATGCGGGCATATAATTTTTAATTCTGCGCTGACGAAGTCGCGGGCGACCGCTGGTCATGTCAAATGAGATGACAGCTATTAAAAATGTTACCTGAGCCCCAAAGTCAATCTGTACGTCAGTCCTGGTGGTGTCCATGAAGGAGTGGGCATTGGCCTCGTATCTGGAGTTGAGAGGACCGAACGCCGCGATGACGGACTGCGAGCGCGATGTATGTATCTCTTTATCTTTGAGCGGCTCCTTGGCAGCCAGGGGGCGACGGTATGTTATTGTGGTAACACCGCCCTTTTGATGACCTGACACTGAAATATACGACAAAACTTCACGAAACTGATTGGCAATAATATTTAATTTAACCAGAAGTAATTCTAAATACGAATAATATTTTTCTTTTAATAGTCAGTGTTCATTACCGCAACAAATATTTAAAAAAACATCTTTCTTAATATGAATAATGAACAAGAATATGTTGTACAAGTTTAGCAGTGGGAATCGACGATTATAAGTAAAAGCAAGATTAAGTATAGATGCAAAAAGTTGTCATCTTTAAACATAAAGTTTTTAACGGCCACGATCTTTTGAAGGTCCAAAGGCAAACGGTATTAACCTCCTTGAGGCAACATAGAGCAACAGTTAGTGTACCTAACACGGCGTCATTGCTGCCTCCCAGCCGCTGGTCTGGACACACGCCGCGCTCACCGTCGCACTGCGCCAAGTGGGTTATTGTGTAATCAGCTACGCGAGGCTGGTCTGCCCTGAAAATTTATATTTATCTATTAAAGAAGATCTTACGTCGTTTGTACCGATCAGAAATGCATACAGACAACATGAATACACTCAAGCATAATCGTTTTCAAATATCTTGGCGGTCCAAGGTCATCGGCGCTGCACCCGCTACTCCCGTAAAGTTAAGAGCCGCCTTGATATCTGAAAGCAGTAATACTCACTTGTTGTCCCAGTATGCGACGACAACATCCGCGGCGAGCATGACTGGCCGGCCCTGCGCACCCGACACGCCGAATGCCATGTACTGATCTCTGCGCAGGCGCGCTGACAAAGTGATCTGAACTTGGTCGCCCTGCAAATTATATGGAACAACTTTACAACTGTAATATTTCAAATTGGAAAACTTAACTAAAAAGTTTTTAATTTGTTTGTCAACTTTATTAATTTTGTTGATTATACATATTATAGGTCGTCAAGGTCATCTGCAAGATGCGCAATGCCCTTCCCGCGTCATTTTACGCCCTCTACAGCTAGTATTGTGTTCTGCGCAGCGACTTGTGCGATGTTCAGAGCCGTCGAGATATATGAGAACCTCAATACATGTATAGCAAAATATTATCGAAAACCTTTATTATTATAAAGGGAAAACCCTTATTACAACCTTTCATAATTGTTTCAAGTAACAGAAAATACATCTACTCCTTTTGACAACGATTATATAATAATTCTTTGATAAAAAAAGTTCGCGTTAAATTTCTGCTATGGGAATATTACCCAGGTGTTGCCACATTCGCAACAATCGTACTAAAACAAGGTCATCTCTAACATCGGCAGTGTACACTCAAACTTCAAACTTCTGAATACATTACCTTCCTGTGTTGGCTGTTGCTAAATTATTGTATAGGAAAAATGGTTAAGTCTAATACGATATTAAATATTAACATTAAGTCATCAAAGACATGGGACGTAATAATGAAAATTAAGTATTCTTTAAATTTTTTCTATAAAATTAATCGAAAATTAACGGCAAAAAGCTTGATTATAGAGCCAAAGTCATAGTTATAAGTATGCGGAATTACGAAAAGCCATCGTTTAGTTTTTATTTATATTACCTTGTATTTTGTCAGCTTGTCAAATGCTTGTGTGCAAAAATAATACACTAATTAAGTTAGGTTATAAAAAAAAGTTAAGAAAATATTAAATTAACTAGAGAATAAGAAATTCAAGACAAGTTTCTGCCCAACTTTCGAATATATATATTTTTTATATATCGTTGTAAATTGTTTCTAAATTAAATACAATAAATATCTTTATATAGCTCTTTACCTGTATTTCCCATCTAACTTGTAGACGTTTGTCGAGAATTTCCTTGCAATTATTTGAGCTGCTGTGCGGAGTTTGAGATGTTGTGGAACTCGTCTGAAACATTACGCATGTTAGTTCTGGTCAGTAATACTGTGTTTCCACTGTAACGACACTTGTATAACAATTAAAACGCCTTTATGCACCTCTGTTTACTGATTAACCGTGGGTTTTTGATACCAAGATCTCTGTATTAAATATATCGACATCCCTGTCATTATTTTTGACGAGAGAGAGAAAACAATATGTTTTAAAGTGGATTTTGGTCTCAGAAACTCAGGGTTAGTTCATTCTATATTTAACTATATGTCATGATACATACTTAAGATCAAAATTATTATTTTCCTTTGTCCAATGTAAATTACCTTAACGGTAATATCGGTGTTACGACAGTGGAGATTCACCATTATTATTTGAAAAGAGATTTGCGGAAAAAATTAATAAACTCAAAAACTACTTGACTTATTTGATCATAGGTTTCTGGACTTAGTTAAGCTTTTGCGATAAAATTTTTGTTATTTTTTTAAGTTGTGTTTAAGTTATAACTTACAGGATTGTACCACCAAGCAGGCTGTTAAAGAAATGTTTACACAATCCCAGATATGCATTAAAAGTGGAAAACACACAAGTTAATGTAAATATTGTGATTAATAAAATAAAATATTTAAATAATATTGATTATTGTTAGTATCCTTGCTGACTGAAAAAAAATTATTAGCACTGGAAAAAAATATTCCTCGTTGAGCTTGCAAAAATAACAAAAAAAAAATTAATCTGATTAGTAACATATCCTTTATTAGCGTTTGCCTGCGAATCCGTTCTTAAATTTAAAAAAAAAACTAGATTAGTGGTCTATGTGTTCTTCCACAATATGTTCTATGTCTATGTCTTTTAACCAAGATTAATTAAGACATTCTGGAGATACTTTCTAACAAACATCCATCCATCTAAACATTTGCATTTGAAATATTAGTAAGACTGAATTACAAAGTAAAGAACCAAAATATTTTTCGTAGACCCTATTATAATTTCACTGATTTCGTTCAACCCCGTTAATCTATTTCTTCACGTTAACAACGCTCAACTTTATCTAGTCGTCGTACACCCGCCAGGTCAACGACCCCTGGGACTCCTGGCTTATATTAGGTTCTATACTCACGGTTATCTTTGTTTGTCCAAGCGCAGGCGGCACGTCTAAGTCCTTAGGCAGATAGACATGACCGAAGTTGTGCCTGTACTCCACACACCAGACGGCCAGCCAGTCCACATCGTAGGCGGTCAGCTTGCCCGGCAGCTGGATCTCTATGTCCTCGCCTTGGTAGCCGCGGAGAGGGTGCAATGAACCCATCTCATTGGGTACCTGGTTACAAAAGATTTTAGTTTGATCGTTTTCTGTGACAGTTTTGCTGTCTGACTTAACATAAAAAGGAGAGAAAAAAAAAGAAGGAGATGATGAAGTAAGGAGGAGGAGGAGAATATTAAAATAGGATAGAACTCAAGTCAATTGGAGAAACATAAAAGATTCTTGTGTCCTTGAACACTTTAGAATAATTGGAATATAATGTTTTTAGTTAATTTCTACTCTGTCAACGCGTTATTGCAGGAATGACGCTTTTCTGTTACTAATCTTTTGTGAGTTACCTTGGTGCCGAAAGGATTAGGTTCAGTTCCATTGCCGACCCAGAAGTATGCATCAGGTCCGGCACCGTCGTAATGCAGATTGGGAATGTAGAACGTCTTTGCATCAAGCACGCTGACGTTGCCTGAGCGCAGACCATGTGCCAGCCGCTTGAATTCTGGCAACACACGCGGACGAGGCGGCTCTAAGCCTGGATTGATGAACACATCGCCGAAGTTCACCTAGAAGGAAAGAAAAGAAATAATTTAATTGTCGCACTCATAAACGTTAAGTCTCCCTTAGTGGAACAGTAACGGAAACATACACTAAGAAATTCATTTGCTGATCTACTCTAAGTAAGGCAGTAAATTATTTTGTAATAGAAGCTTTGTATGTTGTAACTGTCGCTCGCGACTCCGTCCGCGCCGGCTTAAAAAACACTTAATAAGTAGCCTATGTGTTTTTCCAGTCTATATTCTACATCTGTGCCAACGTCAGCAAGGTCCGTTTAGTCGTTCTGTAGATACCTTCTAACAAAAGTCCATCCATCTAAACGTTCGCATTTATAATACATTTTTTCATTTTTGAATCATTCCAAAATATTACATACATTTGTTGAAATAATATATAGTTTTCTTTCATATCATAAAACAATTCATTTTGTCATCAATTTGTGAACGAGTGAATGGAAAGATGGCGTATCGTAAACGTCACATTTTGGCGGGAAGCGGGCGAGTTGCGCGCGCAAACCGATCGATACTATGCTACAGCTGGCAGCGCCATTGACACATTTAATTCAACTTTAACATTAATTAAATATTAATTCGTTTTCTGTAAATTAATTCATAATGAAAGTACGCGTATGAATGAAATATTTTGCTCAAATAATTACTTTCTTATTTGATGTTTTCATTATTTTTTTTCACATTCCGACTTTTTTTAACAAATTAATAATGAAATATAGATAAAAAAAGTTATAAGACGATTTGTAAAAAAAACTTTTAATTATTTTATTACTATACAAGCAAAGACGCGGGAAACAGTAAGTAGACTGTAGTTAAATACGATGAGTAAATTATGGTAGAGACGTTTTTTTTATATTAATACATTACGTTCGGTGGCTTGCAATTTCAACTCTCAAATTAAATTTCCGTACCTCTGTTTTCATTTAAATTTCAATATTACATTTTGTAAATTAATTTTCTAATATAAATTTACATAAGAACATATTTTTACATAGTTATTATGTTAACCTTTTTATATTATTTTATTTACAGTATTTATGGCTATAAGTTAAAAGATACATGAATTACTGTGAGCTTCTGAGACCAAAATCTCCGCTTTAAATATATCTCTGTTTTATCAAATGTAATAATGACAAGAATGACGACATGTTAAGCACAGATTTTGGTCTTAGAAACCCACGGTTAATGATCATTTGCTAATTATTCTAGATAAGCGCTCATAAATTAAAAACAATGACGACAAATAATAATGGTACAAGTCATTGAGATCCGACATCTAAATTACGTCATCAAAGAAACGTCAAATCACATACAAACATGGCGGCCATTATGATATTTAAATAAAGACAGCTATTGTTACATATAGTTACGTGAGAAAAAAGGTTTCACCGGAATTATTTAGTAATTTTCGAGTCGCTTAACATTGTCTATGGTGAAAACTTTGGTACTTACAGTGAACCTACGACACCATACGCTGATCCACTTGATGTCTCGCAGCCTCTTGCCAGCTGGCAGCCGCAGCAAAATGTCGGAGTTTGTGTGCGCTGTTAATACTGGCGGATCTCTGGAATGCAAGAAATTTTGACTTTACTAATGAGTTTCTCAGACAAAAATCTCATCCCGGTTATTATTTTTGACGAAACAGAGATAACTTGATTTTTTTTATGGCAATTTGGTGTGAGAAACCCACGCTAAGATATTCGACGAAAGGAAAGTTATTACTGGATATTAAATATAATTTTTCTTTAAATTCTTTAGAATTTTATTGCTTTAGTTAAATTAACGTTATGTAGTAATTAATATTTTATTGGCGTCTTCTCATTTATATCATTTTATATAATATATAAACGTAGAGTTAATAAGATCAATCTAATTTGACGCAGATTCATAAATTTGATGTCTATGAAGTAAGTCCCCTTATTAAAACCACTTCTCCCCCTCTTCACGTCGTTGTAAACTTCCGAAACACGAGAAAAATATGCAGAAAAACAATTTATTTGTACATTTCTTCATCTCTGATTAATTTACGTTTGGGACAGATATTAAAAATAATTAAAGAGGGCGCCTCCTTTGTAATTTGAGATCTTTTCAGAATACGAGAAGAAAAATAAAACGGAAAAAGGACAACGTTTCCTTGCGATGCCAATAAATGGTGGAATTAAATAATCACAAATATAGAAATAATAATTTTATGAAATATTTACAAAATAATTTTTAAACTTATTGCTTAAAATAATACATTATAGTTTTTGATTGCATCATCATGTCTCACCTGCTAGCATAGTCCTCAGGGTACGGCACAAGGGTACCTTCCGGCGAGGGTTGAGGAGTGTCCCCCACCCAGAAGTAAGCATCAGGCCCAGTGCCATCGTACGCAAAGCCACGGACGAAGACAGTGCTCTCGTCCACCGCGTACACAGTACCTCGGATGCCATGTGCGTATTGTGTCAGACGACCAATCAGACGGCCATAGTAAGGTTCCGGACGACGGGACAATGCTAAATCTGTAAAAAAACAGTTTAGATCTGTTCTTAATTCAAATACAGGCTTATGACGAGAAATTTTGTGATAGTGTTGGTCGTGGCAGAGCGGACATCAAATTATTAAGAGCTGCCGATACCAACGTATAACATTAATGTATGAATGTGGATGAGAGAGATGTGCCAGGAGTGCGCCTAATTGAAGTCAGTAATCTCTGCCTACTCCTCTGGATTGTGTTGTTGATCTACAAGTTGTTCTTTTCTTTCTTTACAACAAAGTGTGTTACAACAGACATACTCAAACTTAAATTCGTATAACAACTGAAAAAATATTCAGACGTATTTTAGTGCTTGAATAAAATAAAGACCGTATTTACACATTGAAAGCTTTACAAATATTGATACTGCATAGAATTGTAACGAAATGCAATATCGCGACTATCAGTTTCCCAGACGTCGTACAGTTTGTAATAACTGATGTTTGCTTGTAACTAGGTCATGTAATGTATCGCACATTCACTGGGAATGTATTTGTTTTATTTAAACACTATTGAGAATATCGGATGATGTAAGAATGAGGGGCTTAAGGAATGCTCTATTAAACCCGTTTGACTACGATCGAACGTCTTTGTCTATTGTGCAGAGAGCAAAGTTAAAAAAGTGGAATAAGTTTTGGTCAAACAGTAATTTATTCGTCATAAATATTTTATATCTTCCTCATCATGAGGTCGCCATACGTCTCCAATGAGTAGTTCGGAGCCTACACTTAGTTAGTAGTGACTAGACCATAGTAAAGCACGCTCGCCCAGGGCCGATTGGCATTTTCGCAGATGTTTTCATTTACCTTTAGAACGTCGAATTTCAATCAAATTTAGATTATTTATAATTTATGACATAACACCTATTTGTCGACGTAGTATTCTTAAATTGTATTCGTGATATTAAGGCAATTTCCATCATCATCAACGAGGCATATTCGCCGGGGGTTGATTACTAGAGGGTCGTTTATCGCTGGGGCGGGGGGTGCGGCGGTGGGTAGACGGGGGTTGTATTTATCTAATATCCTAAGCGGGCCGACGGCGCACATTAAGGCATATTTTGATTGACGTGCTCGCCCCCGAGATTTAGGGGCGATGGGGTAAACTAGGGTTGAAACACGTAAAGAGACATACATCGACAGCCCGACTTATGGGAGAGTAATGATATTCGTAAGTGAGACCTATTCTTCCTACGGATTGTTATAGAGTTAGTTATAGTCAGTAAGGTTCTATACATACTTTATGTACATATTAAAAGAAGCTTTTATATCATCCTAATGTAACAGTGACAGGAACTTACGGGTACAAACTTAACTTGCAAAAAAAGGTATGCGGTAAGTTAATTAAAAGTTACAGCTGAAAACTTGTGCTAACTCTTCTTTTTTAATATTTTGGTTAACCAAAAAAAGTATTTTGACAAGATAGTCTAAGACGGTTCTTTACCGTAGTCAAGCACTTGTGTGTATGATTATTCCGTTCGAACATTCATTATTGACTAGCAATCGCCCGCGACTGCGTCAGCGCAGGATTAAAAATAGTAGCCTATAACATGGCCCAGAGCACCAGCTACCTTCCACTCCAAGTCCCGCTAAGATTCAGGCGTTTAACGCTACCTTACGGACAGACATACGGGCAGATTTAAAAAAAAAAATATTTTTTTATTATCACCAACGCAAATACATCAAGGATAATTTTCCTCTATATTTAAAAAAAAAGAAAGAAAGACACATCAATTTCATTAATATGTAAAATTAGATGACAACCCTAAGCACCCCAGGCGCGAGGGAGGTTCGGCTAACACGTACACTTAATACAGTTTTGTCTGCACATTTCGATACCCATTTGTATGTGAAAAATGTATCTATAACTATGCAAGATACCATCACACACCATGCTACAACGCAATCCTTTGCTCTCTAACATAGCTTCAAGCTTACACTGAAAAAAATATTGGTATGAGAAAAAAAAAATTACGTTAGTTATTAATCATTAATTAATGTAAAGAATTTAAAATTATGTAAGTAATTTTAAAAATGTAATTGCAAATATGAGACAATCGGCCATACTTTACTTCTTTCCTTGAAAATTATCAAGAAGTAATTAAGCATGTGAGTGGGATAGAAAATTAAATACCTTTGGCTTCTGTCAAATAAAAAGAAAAAACTCTAATCTAAAAACACAATTTTAGGAATAACTTGTAAGTAAATATAAGAAAAATATTCATTGGAGTTTTGAGAAATGTATTCGTTCCGTGACGTGGGAGTCGGCAGAAATAAATTCCATCTTTACGCTGGACGCATACTGATGCAGGACGTACAAAACGTGCCAAAGTTTATTGATTGCCTGCAGTGAAAATATTACTTAAAGAGATGGAAGAATGAAAAAGAAATTCATCATTTTTGTTGTTAATCCGATTTGTACTTGAAAAAATACGATGTTTACTATTAAAAATTATAAATATTTATATTATATAATAGCAAAGACTATTTTTTTTTCGAACGAAAGATCGACATACGCACAATGTTGGTGACCCCGGCGTGATGTAGAAATCATTACAACGTGAGATTCTGTCCGTTACATTCTTCGTACACAAGGTAAAGTAAATCTTTGTAACCTGCTGATTTTATTCGCTAAGCGTCTTATGCAATACAATTTCAAAGAGGTTCGTACACACCGCACCTCACTGACATTTTATTCATTTTGCCGCCAATACCAGTCGCTGGCAACCTTTTTGTCAAGATCGTCGTGAGAAAAGTCGCTGTAATTTCCAAGATGGCGGAGTAAACCTATACAGTTGACATGTAGTCGCTATACTGACCGAATAAACGATTCGACGTCGTTTGTACGTTCCCATGTGTACGAAGGGCTTTATACATCTTCTCAAATATGACTTTCCAAGTTACGTAACGGTAATTTTTTTTTAATATTCAAAAGAGGCAAAGGCATGTGTAGCGTCCGGCCAGAAGCTGATATATTAGCTGAGCCCACTTTGAGCTGCCAGTTAATCTTTATAATCTGTGAACATTGCACGTCGGTGTTCGCGCCATATTATTGTAAACTTTATAAAACATGGCCTTGGGGATGTTTTTTTAAAAAAAATAAGGATTGAAATATTTCTATCTCTGTATAAAATATCATCCAGATCAGTTTAGCCGTTTTCGAGTTACCTGCTAACAGACATGTGAACTTTCGCATTTATAATATTAGTAAGGAGTAAGATTTCGCTTCTACACAAGCATTTGAAGTACTTATCTGAGACGTCAGAAATCTTTTACGAGTTATAAAACAAAATTTAGTGTCGCGATACGAAGACGAATGTTCAATTGAATTGTTAAGAAGTAGTCACACTATTAAGATATTTCTATCAAATAATAATTATATTTTTGTTCTAATAATAAATTGAATACTGATAGCTCTGCGTATTACAATACTTTTTGTTTTTATTAACTGATTTTAGTAAGCTTTTTTTCAGACGATGTTTTATACTTTATGATCTAATTGATACTTATATTTGTTTGTTTGTTTGTTTGCATTGTACAGGGTCCGAAACTATTAAATCGATTTGAAAAACACTTTCACAATGCAAAGGCTTTATTTATTACAAGATTTTGACTGACAAAGTCGCAGGCAACTCATCATCATCATCATCATCCTCACCTCACTATACGTCCCCACCGAGGGGCTCGGAGCCTACCCTAAGTTAAGGGTGACTAGGCCATAGTCAACCACGGTGGCCAAGTGCGGATTGGTTGACTTCACACATATCTTTGAATTGATTCGCAGATATATGCAGGTTGCATCACGATGTTTTCCTTCATAGTAAGAACGTCGGATAAATGTACATATGTAAATCGGAAATCGAAAAACACATTGGTACATGGCGGGATTCGAACTCAGGACCTGCAGATTGCAAGTCAAGTGCTTGACCCCTGAGCCATGCAGGCAACTATTAATATGTTATAAACTGGATGTTACTTTTTCACATATATTTTATTTTGATAAACTTTCAATGTATTTGCCAATATGAAGGTACCTTTACCCGGGATCGTTATTCTCAAGAGAGTCAAAAAGATACGATAATAAAGAAGAAGAGTTTAATAATGTTACAATAAACTTAAGATACGTTACTTTATGGCAGCTTTTATGGTTTCATTTATTTTTTTATTGATGTAATAAAAGACTATGAGGGAAAAAATGGAAAAAAAAGCAAAATATTGAACAAACTTGACAAGGTTTATATTTTTTCTAAAGTGGATTTTCCCTGCAGCAAAATTTTTACAAAAACATAATGTTATCCCTCTATTTTATAAGTATGATAGCAATAGAATTTCACGCGTGAGATTAAAGTTTTTGTAAATAAAAAATTCTGTTTTTTTTTGTGAATAGTAAAAGAGTTTACAAGTTTATTTTTGGTTCGTCTTTCTTATAAGGGGTTTATAATGGAAGCTTATTTTATTCAATAAATGTGTGAGATTAGAGCTAAAGTTGTACCCCTCTTGAATAAAATCAATCGAAAGCCATAAATAATTCGACTTATCTCAACTTGTGAAGCCATGGGATGTTTTGTATTAGTTTCACAAAAGGGGAGCACAGTAGAAAACTACAGTACTCCTATTTGAACGTTCATCGACGAGACGACAGAATTGCAGTACTGCAATGTACCACACGTGCTCCTTGTTCTACCTTAGTGTGAAACTGGCATAACATCCGAAGCGATTGGTATGCACCCCGCGCACCATTTATCTTCCCCTACCGTCGCCCACCCCCATTGTTGTTATCATAATGCAAGGAAATGCGGGGGAGGACGTTTTTATACTTCAAAACCTTTTATCTAATTAATTTTGTCGTTTTACTTTTCAAAATTTTAATTACTTTTGAACAACCAAAAAAACGTGTCGAATATATATTTAATTGCGTACAAGAAATGCTATGCTAACTTATTTAAAGTCAGGTCAAAATGTTTTTGTTTTAATAAAAAAAAATTTTTTAGAAGTCAATATTTTAAATATTAAACGAAGCTGGAATTGTCATCAGTCCGTTTACTTCCTCACCGAAAAGCTCGTTTCCTCAAATTACAGATTTTCCTTATACATATCTGCCAAGACTAGTATACTAAGTGCCAAAAAAGATGGTACGTTTATTGAGCATTGATATTGAACTCATATTACTCGTCTAAGCAAACAGTTATGTCAGCAATGTGCTGAAAGAGAAATCAATTACCTAACTGTGTACATGACACTGTGGTCGTACCAGTTATAAAAAATGTTATATATATGATGCAACTAGGTTTTGTGTGTTAATTCGTCCGCTCGGTGTTAAAAAAAACTCGAATTTGCACATTTGCCGACAGACGAGCAGGCATAAAAATGCAAAATTCGTAAAGGGATATGACTTTTTTTTATTTTGCGTACATACATTAATTGTATAGGTTTGATAATCGAAAGCGGATTGTAACTATCTTTTTAACCGACTTCAAAAAGGAGGAGGTTCTAAATTCGTCTATATTTTTCTAATCCAATTAAGGTAAAGTGTGGAAAAAACCGAATGAAAATTCGTTCCGGCAATACGATTTTAGTGTGTGTTGCAAAACTACTCCCTTCGTCTGCGTCGATGTCTGAGGGGCCGCGCTGAGCACGCATAATGGGGTAGACAGGGAGGGTCGGAACTTTCACTTCTATTGTGACATTTTTTGATTTCAAAAAAGTTTTTATAACCATGGTTATATAATTAATCGTCGTGAAATGCTTATCGTTGGTTTCTGAGACTAAAATCCCTATACAAGACATATCGTCCTCATTATTTTTGACAAAACAGAGGTAGAAAGATGTTTTATAAAAATCTTCTTTGTAAAAAAACCTGACATTTTAATGTAATAAATACATATAAGTATACTTTTTGATTTTTTAATTATACTATTTAAAATATTAACTATTTAAAAATTGTTTTTCAAGTTTACGAAACTATAATTTATTTGTTTATTATTCTTTTAATGTACATATACCTATGTTAAAGTTTTTATTCGATCAAGAATCATCTAATCGTGTTAAATCAAATGAAAATACAAACTGAAGTGTAACATCTTCGAATACATGAACAAAAAGATTTACAGATTTGTTCAGACACAAAGCTTTGTGACCGTGAATTATTTTGTTTGTTTTCTTTTATATTTCTTTCTCGTCTTATCTTTACAGGAAACTGAGAGCTGTGAAAGTGAAGTCGATAGCAATTACATGATTGAAAAATATAAAGATTTAATAAAACAGGCTTAATACTCAGTCAGCTGTCGCCCGCACCTCAGTTATCGCGATAAAAAAAAAATTAATAGCATATATCTTGTCAAACACTATGTCAATTTAGTTTACATTATTATATCAATAGATGGCAGAACATATTATTTAGATCACGATATAGATTTATTTGGGATGTTTATCGACTTGCCGATCGCATTTAAATAAAGTTGACTCGCACCAAGATATAACAAGTGTTTCATTGTGACTACTCGATACTTCTCCAGTGAGAGGGAGACCTTTTTGAGACTGCTTTACATATCTTCTTCCAGATGAAGTTCTACATCTGTGCCAAATTTGATCAAGATCCGTTTAACCGTTCCGGAGATGTTTTCTAACAAACATCCATCAAACCAAACTTTCGCATTTATAATATTAGTAAGATTGAAATTTTAACTGGAATTTAAGTTAACTATAGTATTTAGTAATCTAAAAAGAAATTATTACTTGGCAATGAAAAACTTTTGACTAATTTAAAACACAAATATCGTAATTATCTCTAGCCTTAGGTTTTTACATAAAACACACGGACTTACACTTTCTTATCATTCTTGAAAAAAAAAACAATTTCGGTAATGTAAACTTAGTGACAAATCTACACTTCAAAGACTCTATTTAATCTATAATATATATTAATAAAAATTACACGTAACAAGGATATTTTATTATTATTAATTTTATAGTATAGTAGCTGTCGCCCGCGACTCCGTCTGGGTGGATATATAAAAAAACTTAATTAGTGTAGCCCAACCATCCAACCATCCACATCACATCCATCTAAACATTCGCATTTATAATATTAGTAAGTTAAATAAAAAGCAGCTCTTCAAGGCATAAAAAAAAAGAATAAATAGTATCCTATGTCCGTCTCCTGGCTCTAGCTACCTCCTCACCAATTTTCAGCTATATCGGTAAAGCTGTTCTTGAGTTATAAATAATGTAACTAACACGACTTTCTTTTATATATAATATATATATTGTTATTATAAAATATAGTTCCATTTTCAATTCTCACACAATAGTAAATAAATGTATAAGACCCCACTCCCCTAATCCTCTAATCTCTACAAAGCACAGTTCAACGTACCACTCTGATTGCAACACTATTGTTCATTCTATTTCCACTGTTGATCTACTTGTATCGAAACATGTTGTCATCCCTTTCATTTATTATAAGAGAACGGAGACAGCAATACGTTTTGTGCAAATATTTCGGTAGTGGAAACTTAACGTAAAGATTTTTGTTCTATTCTTCTTCTTTTTTTTCATGAAAAATTTTTTTTAGAGTTAAATTTTCTTCGCTTAATAAAATACTGAGTTATAACAAAAATGGCGTCTTAGTAAACTACAATTTCAAGATATAATCTATACAATTGTAACAAATAGATTCGTGATCCTTTCACAGGAGCCTTTGACATCTCTATTGTCATAGAGATTGGAACATGTAGAGTTGTGTGTTTTACAAAATTGATTTTTATGTCTATTAATATAATAAGTCTGAAGCTGAACCTTAAGAATCCTTAGATCATCATCATTCTGCCCTTTGCCATACATCTTTATCAGCCGTCATGTCTGGATTCACTTCTTACGCATATCCTCTTTCATACAATCCATACATGCTTTCTTAAGACTTCTTTTACTTTGTAGTAATCTATATTAACAATCCAATCTAATTCTGTCCTAATTTAGGGAAAGGGAAATTATTCTTTTTTTAGAGAGTCTCTTTCTCCGTCAATAAAGGCAACACATCTGCAATTGCAAATGTCTTTGGTCAGCGATCGAATTAAAGTCGCTTACTCGTTTGCCACTTCTTCTTACTAATATTATAAATGCGAATGTTTAGATAGATAGATGCATGGATGTTCGTTTGAAGGCTGAACCAGAACGGTTAACCTGATCTTGATAAAATTTGGCATACATATAGAACATAGTCTGGAAGAAAACATAAGCCACTAATTAAGTTTATTAATAATTTCGCGCAGACGTAGTGGCGTGCGACAGCTAGTTATAATAAAAGAATAAACTTATTATAGTAAAATAAGAGGTTCTTTATAACTTCATTACTGAGTTAAGTTTTATCATATAGTTTATAGCAAATATCATTCACTTAACCTTTATTATTTATCCAAACACATCTCAGTACAGCTGTACTGAACACGTAATTATAACCTGTATGGTATATATTAATAGGGGACATTTTGCTTTGTAAATTTTTTATTGAGAGCTTTGTTTCGACAGCATAGTTGCCATGATCTTAATCGCAAGTACAACTTGTACATACAACTAGTTAACCTACACATGTAATTGTAACAAGGGCTATATTAATAAGAATGCAATAAAATTATAAATTTTTGACAATCTGCGAATGTAGCAAAAGCACATTTTACTGTGATATGGTTCCAATGGTTATAGTCTTTAGAAATCTAGTTGGGTCCTTCTCCAAGTCTGATGTAGGACATGAAAACAATCATTGTTGTCATTTTTGAAGAAAATTATTGAAGGACGGAATTTGAAAACAATTTTACGATTTACTCATGAATCCAAACTATTTCATGGTTTTTTTTTATAACAGAAGGGGGCAAACGAGCAGCGGGAACACTGAGGTGTTCAACGACGCCCATGGACATCAGCAATACCAGAGAAACCGCAGATGCATTGCCGGCCTTTGAGGTGGAGATAAGCTTGCTTCTTGAAGGGATTTAATGTACCATACAAGCTATCTACATTAGCTTCAACGAAAGTCAGTAATCCAGAAGGCTTAGGCAGAAATGGCACACATATTTCGTTTTTTTCTTATAATATGTCAACGTAGAAGATACGTAGACTTTAAATCCAAATTCTCTATATTTGAATTCTGGCTATTCAACCTTAAATTATTAGGACTTAGATAACAACTTTCCTTGATAAAATAGAGACACTATAAAGAAAATTTTAGACGTCTATTGCATGAATTTCGTTCGGAAATTACTGATTTAAATTCCTGGAAATCGAAAAGTAGAATTGATATTCTCGTTTCCGAAGGTTCTTGTTGTCCTGAGGAGAGACTTACCGGCATTAAATAGCAGGAGCAAGGTTAGTATCGGCGCGCAGCCGTGCGGGGGCGCGGCCCAGCGCGTCATTGGCCGAGCTCTGGGGGCGTACTACCCCGACACAATATTATAAATATACAACGCACAACACACTTTTTAAACAACACTAGATTTTCTTATCTTTTTTTCTTGTTTTAATTCACGTCCACGTCCACACAACTAAGCTGGCTGACGCGCACTGGACACTTTCACTTTTTTATAAATGTCGTTTGACGTTTCTCGTTTCGCGCGCGATTCTGCCTTTCACTATTAGTTGCGTTTGGTTTCTTAATTTTAATATTATTGTCGTCGTTTCGTAAACCAGTCTTGTTTAGTTTTACTTTCTATTTAATACATAATCATTTTTTTTTATCTGTAACAAATATTATGAAAAATCCATAATTTTTTTTTTAATTTAATGGCATTTAAATCAGAACACTGTAGAGACGTTTTGCTAGGTTGCGTTAGTGTTTAGTTATAATGATATTATTTTTATATTGTAATTTGAAATGTTTAATTTGGGTACAAAATAACATAATGTGACGATATCAAAGCGCAAAAAAATCCACAATAATTGAAATCAAACACTACGGAGTATCAATATTTTATTTATTACATTTAACATAGCAAGCACAAAATACAAGCACGCCATGCTATTAAAAATTAAAAAAAAAACATGCAAAATAAAATTTCAATTTAACATACATATGAATAATAGTAATAATTTTAATACATTCTAATTCATTATAAACATATTAATATTTATAAAGATTTTAGATTTCCATTTCCCGCCACCCTCATTCCCATCAAAGCACTCATTAGATGTGTTGTTATATCAACCCTGTTCATTGTGCCATCGATATGATCCATTTCCACAGCTGATAAACCTGTACAAAAATAGTCACCTTTAATTCTCTACTAGCTGTTGACCGTGATTCCGTCCGGGAGGAATTAAAAAAAAAAAGAAACCAAAGTGCTCTTCCAGACTATGTTCTACATTTATGCTAAATTTATTAGGCGATTCGTTGCCCGTTTGCCCCCTTCTGCTATAAAAAAAAAAAATTTAATCGAGATCCATGCAGTTGTTCCTAAAATACCTTCTAACAAACATTTCCATTTAAACTTTCGCATTAATAATATTACTAGCTGTTGCCCGCGACTCCGTCCGAGCGTAATTAAAAAAATAATGAGTAGCCTATGTTCTTCCAGACTATGTTTTACATCTGTTCCAAATTTTATTCAGATCCGTTGAGCCATTCTGGAGACACCTTCCAACATACATCCATCTATCCATCCATCCAAACATTCGTATTAACTTTAAACCACAAAATTTTAATGCATGTTTTATAAAACTGCTTATATCTTAAAAGTAATACAGGTTGATGGTACACAGAGTATGAACACACTAATCCTATAGGGTGGGGG